ATGACACTTTGCAGATTTGGACAGTTTGAAGGACACAACATAATTAATGTCCAGCCTTTTCTTTTCTGTCCCATCTTTATTTCTTTATCATTTTATTCTCTTTTTTCCGAGACTGGGTAAACATATGCACAGATGCCCTGTGATAATATCTGCTCTGACATTTTTGTCTGGATGGATGTTCAAATGATGTTCCCCATGCTGATTGGAGAAATTTCTGTCATGCTTTCTTATATGCAATGTTATCCCTGCCCTGCTGAGGCAATTCTAAGAATATTTGCTTCATGCAGCTAAGAAAAGTAATTGAGTTTCTGAGTAACTAAACTTGCTTCTGTTCTCTTATGAGGAACGCCATTAAGAGAACTCCTGAAGGACTGGAGAAGCAGTGGGTTGAATAGAAACAACCATAAAGAGTGGAGACCTTGTTTGGAAATGGTGCCCTTAACCTCCAGATGTATTTGTCATTAAATCGGAGATAAAGCAGAGTATGCCTTTGTGAGTTTAACAAGAGACTGCATAGTGCTATCCAAGTGTCACTGAGGGCAGTGCTATTTTAACAGCAAATTAACCTGTAGGACAAGAATGATAGTATTTTCCATTTCCGTAAACACAGCACTTTTGTCAGATTTGGCTCATTAAATCTAAAAAAATAAGCTAAAATAAGCATTTATTTTCCCCTCAAAATACACAGTGCTGAGATTATCCTTTTTTTTTTTTGTCCGTGTCGTATCCTAGGGGACATGTCAAAGAAAACCCTGTGCCGTATTGCTGAGTGTGCGATCGCAAATGGCTTTTTTTTCAGCTGCAGTTTTCCTTGAAACTCTGAACTGCTGTAGTAATAACATGCTTGAAGCTCCCTAATGCTGAAGCTCCCTGGCATGAATTCTTCTTTCAAGGGATTTGAAGATAGCGACAGTGTAGAAGCTTACAATCTCATATCCAGAATGCTCATTGAACAAACAGTGAGGTGCAGCAGCTGTTTTAGAGCTGTCCTGTTAATATGCATTCTGTTTCCCAGCTGGCTCCTTACAAGGCCATTGCCATCCTATGCTTTCCAACTCCGCAAAGCAAATCAAACCAACACTTCAACATTTTTGACTGATCTTCTATAATTGCGTATGATATTAGCTTCAATAACAACTAAAGGGACCTCAGTGAAACGCAGAATGGCTGAACAAGGCTGCAGTTTGAACAGACAATGAAGTATTGAAGGCATTTTATTGAATGGCTAACACCTTGAATATGTACTTTCTATGTTGAAGTATTTATAAAAGTATTTTGAGTTGTTGTTGTTGTTTTTATTCATAGGAAACAGTTAGTGAACAAGGAATATTAAAGTGACTGGGGTCCCACTTATGTAAAAAAAAAAACATATATATATCTATATTTTTGTGTCGTTTTTGATTTATTAAATCTTTGATGAATAGAAAGTTCAAAAGAATTTCTAAAATAAAAAAATAAGAATTTATGTATTTTTTTATTTATAAAAGAAGAAATAGAAATCTTTTATAACATTATAAATGCCTTTATGGTCACTTTTGATATATATATATATATATATATA